TTTTTGCTGAGGGGATGGTGCTGGGGACAGAACCCAGGGCATTATCACACATGCTGAGCAAGCTCTCTGCCTTTGAGCTATACCCCAAGCCCCTAGCACTACCCTGTCTGAGAAGTGTCTGAGGTGTGGCATTTAGGTTTAGATCAAGTTCAGCAGTGATGTCAAAACCAAGATGGCCAATCAGGCTGATGGTCTGGGAAGAGAAGCAGCAGGATAGCAAGGAAGGCTAAAGACTTGAAATGTAAAGAGCATTGAGCAGGACTCTCTCCAGCTAGTAGCTAGTAGCCCTGATCCTGCTGTGAAACTGGTTTTGGTGTGTGTGTGTCCATGTGTGTTGTGGGTGAGAAGAGGAATTCTTTATATGTCTGGAAATTTCTACTCAAAGAAGATTTTTTTTTTCTGAATTTTCAGATGTCACTCCTCCACCAAGTATTTCTGGAAGTCAATGGAGGGAAAAAGAAAGAAAAGACCCTCCTCTTCAGCCATGGGGGAGAAACTTCTATTCTAACACAAAAGGATAGTTGTATTTAGTGTTAAAACCAGTTGGTAACTTTTGTAATGACCAATTCACTAGGGATTAATTTCAATTTTCTTCTCTCCTTATTCTTCGGCAGTCAAGGCTGAAGCTAGAGCACGCTATCACAAAGACCCGTTTGTGCACAAGAATGCAACTCCCAATTCTCAACATGTGCCCAAGCCAGGTGACAGAGTGCTGGGCTTTGTCCCGATGTGTAATCGTTGCCTGGTGCCCCTCAGACTTTCTCTGTAACATGCTAAGCTCAGTTGAAGAAGAGAGAGGACTACCGTGGCTTTCAGCATGCATTAACTTGTTTGGGCCACAAAATTTGAAACAGAAAAGCCATAAAAAAAAATGGATAATCAGTAAAACGACCCCACTCTCCAACTAGCAGCTTGCGCCCTGACTTCAGTAGGAAGCCCCTTCAGCGTGGTCCCTTTGTGTTCAAGCATGCCATTTATTTTGAGTGACTCCAGTGTGAATATGACATTACTAATGATCTGCTAAGTGTGTGCAGATGTGGGTTACTCCAGATGTGGTGATTAATAACGTAATGGAGATAGCTGTTTGACTCATGTTTATGAGTTTTTGCCTTTTATTACTTTTCTGAGTTTATTTGCTTTGAGCTATTTTTTAACCCCAGCCAACAAACCCACCTTCAAATCTAAGAGCTTCATCCTTCACCCCCTGCTAAATCTCATGAAGAAAACAGGGAAGAGGGAAATGCCCTAGGCTGGAGGAGACTGCTGGATTCATCCCACACAAGTATTAGACTGCTCGGGCAACCTGAAAATCACAGCCACGCCCATTTCAAGGACCCTTAACAAGAGGCATCGGTGAACCCCACCATAATATTTGCTGCTTAGAGAGTAACACAAAGGCAGAGATTTCTTTCTTTTCTTTCTTTCTTTTTTTTTTTTTTAAATCTGGTAAAATATGTGATCATTTTGAAGTAAGGCCAGACCCCTGGCCAGTGTTTCTGGAAGATGTTGCTTTGCTGTTGCTTAAAAACAGAATGCTGATGAAAAGTGGAATGAAATGTTGTTACAGATGTTGAGCTCCGCGTTAAGGCTGTTGGAATTACCGCCACATCTTAAATCAATTCCCAGAGCATTGTCTGGAGGTTATGTCACTGAAATAATGAATCCTCTTTAGTCAAGAAAACGCAAACATGTTAAAACATCATTGTAAGTTTAAATTAAACTCCAGCGCAAACCAGGGGATCTGAAGCCTCATTAGGCCAGCCTGACATTTTTCTAACGCTGACTCTTCTCCCCAAACTGTAAAACTGTTAGATTCAGGGCCTATTAGACAAGAGAGCACTGGGAAGTTACAACAGAACATTAAGTGTTATACTTAGGGATGTGCAAAAACAAGCCCTTGAATTTTATGAGGACTCGGAGACTGGAGAGAGTTTGCCTCCTATAAAAATTCCACATTAGATTCCCGAACTTGTTTGTATTTTGAAGAAGCTGGTAACTCGGGCTCCTTTAAAGGAGCCTGTCTTCCTGCAGCTCGCTCCACACAGAGGCCAGGAAGAATGCTAGGAAGGTGTATTACAGTTAGCCAGAAAGCAGGTTAAATGCAAGCCTGTGAGTGTGCCTGTTTGCGAGGCAGTGGTTTGCTACAACATGTTTGTCTTCCATGAAAGTGAGTAAATTTCAGTCTCTCCTTTAATCCCATTTTTATTTCTCCCGTGTAGTCATAGAAGCCATGAAACAAGCATCATGTCTTAGAGCTCAGCTACAAGTTTTTCTAGATCTGCTTTCTTTAAATATACAGAAATTGGTGGAACTCATAGAAATGATAATAATTAAATATGTGTTATGTCCTACTTAGTAAGGAGAATTTATCCGTGCTCCTCTGCTGAGATCTAAACCATGTGTAATGTTATCCATTATACAGTATTCATATATTTAAGCTGAGGACATTTTCCATCCCAGCTCTTCAGGGACCAGATTTCCAGGCTCCAAATAAAGCTTTGAACATGGTTCCATTGAAGTGAACAAATCCCAGCTTAAATGCACTGTGATTATGATGAATGATCTCTCAGAGTTGCAATGAAAATAAATAGTTGCCTTGCATAGAAGCAGGCATCACACTCTTTCCACAGTAAGGTGTCTCCCCAGAGCTGGCTAACACATACGAACTTGCAGATCTCCCATCTGAAGAGCCGTGGCAGCTAACAGCAGAGGCTAGGTAAAAGGAAAAGGGATGCTTAATCAAAGAGGATATTTTCTTAGAGGCCCAGAGCTAATGGGGAAGAAAAAATTAAGCAAAGAGTTCAGCAGAAAAGCCAATGAAAGTAACTAATAGAGACTCTTTCCATAATTGGCCACAGCCATGGTGACGTGCAGTGGTCTTGAGGAAGCTGACAGTTTTTGACTAGGATAGATGAAAGACCTTTTGGGGCATTGTTCTGTAAGCTTATGAAAGGAGACGGATAATTTATAGCCCCAATAAACATACTTATGCTCTCAAAAATAAAACACTCATTTAAGTAGTATACTAACAACTCTCCGGGTCACGCTGTTGCAGTTTAACAGTGGCCCATATTAAAAGGTGGCCTTGGATTATGCAAAGAATCAACGCAAGCTTTCTTCTCCAGCCTAAGGTGGGGAAATGTAAAAGTATATTTAGGCATGTGTGTGAGCACGTACATACACTCACACTTTAGCCTGCTTTGAATTGCGTTGGATGCCTGTCCCCTGTCCTCTGAAAGGAAGATGAATTCAGGTCAAATTCAGAGTGCCTGTTTGCTGGCTGAGAGATGCATATCAACTCTAAGTGATTTTTTCAATACCATTTATGTGGCTTGTATTTATTTCCTTTAATCTTTTAAGTGCTGTTTAGTCTCAGTGTGATTTGCTGTGGATACTCATTTCTGATAAGACGTGATATCCTCCCAGCCACATCGCCCCAGCCTGGAGCGCTAGGTGACTGATAGGGTCTCAGCCTGAGTGGAGCCTAGGGTGGGCGGTGGGGGTGGAGGAGGGAGCAGGTGGCAGAGGGAATGGGTTGTGAGTCTTTGCAGGTCCTTTCTGGCCTTGATTCCATCTGGTATTCCTCTCACCCAGTCACACCATTTTCCCCTTGCCTTGGGTCAGTCAGAATGAGGTAACCCCAAACCGACAGTAGGGCAGAGGTGTGACATTCTGAAGCAAATCTGGGGGTCAGTTAGACCGGTGGAACCCCTTTGGCACTGTGTGTCCTCACTGCCCATGTTTCTTTAGGGTTTTCAGAGAGGTGCTCTAGAGAGCATGCTCTGTTATTGGGTCGTCTGGACAACAGCAAGCAGCTGAGCTGGCTGCTTGCCCCCCTAAGCCTCATACATATTAACATACACCAAGCTGTTTTTGATGTTGTCACCACTAATATTTCTCTTCTTAGCTTTAAGGTTACTTCCATGCATTATGAGTTTCAGGGCTGTTTCCTCCTAGTCATATGACAATCATCTCTGAAACTCCGAGGATCCTCTATCACCATCTCGGGATGACAGTGTTAGCCTGGACTGTGTGAGGGTGGGGAGAGCAGGGCTAGAATTGTGTTGCACATGTCTTTGGGTGACAGGCTGGGCAAGTATCTGCCAATTGTCCAGCAGCGCTCTTAGAAAACAAGCATGGTGCAGGCTAACCCATCTCCAGTGCTTATTAGTGGGTGTCTCTGGGCAAAAGCAGCCGAGTGCAGTGTGCTGTGTTGTCTGTGAGTAAAGCTTCACATCGCTTAGTGATCTATGTGGTTCAGACATTTGGAAAGCAAGCTTATGGTTTCCAGGCCTCTCTGCCGCCCTCCATCCTCCACTGCCTCCTTCGGAGGTGTCATCATTCAGTGACAGCCTTCTCCTTCATTCCAGTGCTCTCTCCAGCCCCAAGTTCGCCCCCTGGTGGCCGCTGCGAGGAAGAGAGCTGAGCTGGGCTGGGGACTCTTGAGCCCACATGCACTAGTGAAACATGAGCAGCTAAGGCCTGGAATCCCTGCCTCTCTTCAAGGCTCTTGCTGTGGGTGCAAGGGCTGGGAACCAGTTATGTTGGTTCATTTGCAGAAGTAGCAGGCAGGCTGCTAATCCGCTACCTCAAATACAACTCTAGTTCTGATTTTGGTTACAAGAAAATTCATTTGATTATTCAACCAAGCAAAGTGTTAACTCCTAACCAAAATTAACTCCTAAAAATAATGATATGTATTTTTATATGTGGATAAATCACTATTTTCTCATTCTTTCTTACACCAGGGCATTTATAGGTTGTTCTAGTCTCTTTACAGTGCATGTTCAAGGGTTGGTGCATAAAGCAATATTGCTTCACCCTCCTCTCAGCCGGCCTCTCTGACTAACGCATTCCGTCTTTGTTACTGGGCCTCTAAAGGCAGCCCTGACTCTCTAGTGAGTGACTGAGCCTTGAATGTGTGTCCTTTGATATCTTGCCTGTGTTTCGCAGTCTTCCCTCAAACTGTTCATAATCTCACAAGCTGCCTGTATTTGCAGTTGAAGATGAGCAGCCGCCAACGGTGTCACCCAAAAAAAAGCAACGTAATGGGGGTATGAGGAACTCACCCAACACCTCCCCGAAGCTGATGAGGTAAGCAGATCCCCCAGCATGGTCCCCTCCCCAGCTCCTTCTCAGGCCTCTCCACCTGCTGAAGCCCAGGCCCAGACCTTCCTCCTCAGTCAGCTCCGTGGGGGAGGGGAGAGAGATCGTTAGATGGCTTCTTAAAGGCTGGAGTATTTATTCTGTCAGCTTGTCAGCAGTTAATGATAGAGCTGAAAAAATTCTGTCACGAAAAACAGTTTGAAAAGCTGTTTGAAAAATACATAGGCTTTAAAGTCCTAGCTGTCACCATGTCCTGTCTGTGTGTAGTTACTAAACAGCAGTGGCACTAATGACGCCGGGAACCAATCAGAGGAACTCTGTGCTTAGTTTGCCTGCGGCAAGGCTCTTTCTGCTGGAGTCCCTCTGAGGACTGGTTTCTGTACTTAAGGCCATATGTGAGATGTATCATCACAATCAAAAATGAACCTGGAGATTACCTTCCTTTTATCCTGTCGATGAAAATCAAATTTCTGTTAATTGATTTTGACTGAGAAAAAAAAAAGTTTAATAATCCGTGGGCTTGCCAATGTAAAGTTCAAAAGTAATCCAGCTCTGCTCAGGTTCAAAGCAATATTAATTATGGAACTGGGTGTGCTAGCAACCTTCCTTCCTTCCTTCCTTCCTTCCTTCCTTCCTTCCTTCCTTCCT